CCTTTGAATGTGATCTGCTTTTTTCTCTAGCAGCTTTCAGTATATTATTCTTGTGCTGAATTTCTAGGATCTTGACTATTATATGTCTCGGTGTGTTTTTAATTGGGTCGAGATTACTTGGTGTTCTGTATGCTTCAGTTACCTGAATGTCAGATTGTTTCCTCATATTTGGGAAGTTTTCTGCTATTACTTCTGCCCATATATTTTCAATGTCATTTGTATTGACTCCTTCTTTCTCATTGATGCCTATTAGTTTCACATTTTCATCTTTGCATCATCTTGCAGGTGATGGATTATTTTTTCCTGCATCCTAATTGTTTTTAAGACATCCTTTCTTACCTTTTCACTAGCTACACCAGTGTCTTCAAGATCTGAAAGTCTGTCTTCACTGGTTTTGCAAGCTTGTGATTGACATTTTAAATTCCTCTATATCTCTTTGACTCTGCTTCATGTGATCTATTTCTTTGCTGTATTGCTCATTCAAGGAATCTGTCATTTTTCTAATCTCTATTTTTTTTATCAATGTCTTCTTTAGAAGCAGTTAGCAATTCTTTTACTGCAATATTTTTTCAGATTGGGTTTCCTCCCTATGTTTCTGTAGTTGATTCTTTACCTCAGATGCTATAAGTTCCAAGAATTCTTTTCTTATTTCAGAAAGCTCTGCTCTGAGTTCCTCTATAAATTTCTGCTGTTGCTTATTTACTATCGACGCTATTAATTGGTACATTTGAGCTGAGCTAGTGTCCTCTGCACTTGTTCTGTTGGGCATGAGGTTTCCTCCATATGTTTCTGCATTTGATTCTTTACTGCAGATGTTATTAATTCAGGGATTGCTTTTTTCATTTCCAATCTGAATTCCTCTACATCTTTCTTTGGCTGTTTTTTTTTTTGTTTCAGAAGCCATTGTTTCATTGATTTCAGCTGTGTGATTCCCACTTTCTTCTGTGTTACTGTCCTCTGCATTTGTTATGGGTGGGTTTGGGTTCTGAGATTGCATTTTGCTCCTTCTCATTGTCAGTTTGTGTAGCACTGTCCTCTGCCATTTGTTGTAGATCTTTGTTGCAGTTATAACCTTAGCACCTACTGAAGTTCAGGTGCAGATCTACAAATTTTGGATTTATCCAGTTGTGCCTGGCTTGGGTCTGGCTGCTGTGCTCAGCTCCTTCCTGCTGCTGCCCTTGGGGATGAACCTGTTGTGCCCCTCTGGAAAGATTTTCTGCTTCTGGACTAGCTAGGTGGTTCTGTCCCCTACACTCTCTGCTGGGATTGTAGCTACAGGGTTTCACCCCAGGCCTATATGCTTTTTCTTCATATTCTGTAGGGACTCAAAGTTTAACATATCAATACTTGATGGAAAATACCTGTTCCATGTTATGTCTAACATGTTTGATATGCAGAAATGTAATGAGGTTAAGCTCAATTGCCTATGTTGTAGGGTAATAAAGGCTTCTCTTCTGGAGGGTTAGCAATCTGAGTTTGAAGACCAAATATTAGAGAAAAAGAAAGGCTGCAAGGACAGCCAACATTTTCACCCTAGCCTTATAAGGTCAGTGAAGTCAGGACATAGAAGAACCTGTATTGTAATACCATGTAACTCAGTTGTGTCCCAAATTTTCTGATCAAGGAGATTATGGGGCCACAGAAGAAAGTGACTAATGCTGTAGAGTGTGCCTAAGAAGAACCACATGGAGAGAAAACATTCTCTCAGGCTTTCACAGACAGCAAATTGATCAAGCAATGGGCATGACTCATCCACATGGCTGACATTGACAAAGGATCTACAAACTTCAGTACAGGGTTTCATGATAAATTCTGAGTGGATTTGACTGACCTCAGATACAAAAGTTACATTTCTTCTTATATAGATCTTGCCTTATCTTGGTCTTACCCATCCAGCAGAAAAGTATAAAAATGAAGTATAAGAAGTAAAGCCATATTAATATGCTGAGCTGTAAAAGGATCAAGTCAACAACTTCTGGCTTTGTCTATTCTATGGAAAACCCACTACTATTATGGACTACTGATCTATATTGGAATATTTTCTGAATTCACATGCCTATAATATTTAAATGACAATGGAATACCCTTCTCTGACAAAATCAAACAAAAAAGAGGAATGCAAATGAATGACAATTTTGTATCTCTATATTCAAAATAGTTAGGATAGATATACAGCTACTTTCTCTTAATTCAATGAATAGAAAGATTTGTTCTAATAGTTTTTGTGGACAGGATATCATGTGTGCATCTTGTACACTGAATAACCCCTAAGACAACACTATACAATGTATTAATTATTGAAATTGTCCTACTTATCAGTTTTGAAACTGTCTCATTGCTGTTTGTTTCTCAATAAAATTATTTAAAAAAAAAAAGAAAGAGAACAAGGCAGAGCAGGGGAGATGACAGTGGCTTCTGCTGCCCATGGAGACCCCCACCCATGCCAAGGGGGCACAGGGTCTCCTGAGAACACAGAGGAGAAGGGCTTTTGGCATGTAGGCACCATATAAACATGAGCGGCATCTTTACCTGAAACTTGAGGCCACCTTGTGGTGCTGACATCTCGGGGTCTGACTCAGCCATTTTAAACAGCACTGGCTCTGCTTCTCATAGTGCTTCTTAGTAAACACACGGCTCTGACCTCCGCCCTGCCCATCCTGCCCCACCCAGGGCACATCTTTTCTCACTGGCCTTGCCTAGTCTGGCATCAGCACTGGTCTGACCATAATGACACACAGACTTTGCCAGATGTGAGCCAAAGCTGCTCACCTGTCTCTAGCATAAGCTCAATAAATACACTCTTGGCATCTTTCTGGGTAATCTCTTTGGTGAACTCCGCAGACAAAAGTCGGGGCACTTGTGGCTCAGGGTCTCCTCCAAGACCCCAAGTGTGGCCTCCTGTAAGAGGGGGATGGGGTGGAGGGCACCTGGATCCCTGTCTGCTGACAGCCCAGGGCCTTCTGGGGATGTTACCAACCAGGCGGCTCTGGAGGAGGCACATCCTGTGTCCTGCTCATAGACAAGGAAGGGGTTCCACTGGGCACTGGGGTGCAGCTGGCCAAGGCTCACATGCTCCTTTCTCCTCCTTGCTCTTCCCACCCATCTCTCCTTCCCTTGCTGGCAGCAATGACCCCATTGTGGGCAAGGAGAAGATCTAGGCAATGCTTGGCAACCCAGAAAATATCTGTGCCCCAATCAGGAGCTGGGATTCTAAACAGCATGGCTGAGACTACAGCCACCTAGACCAGGGCCGGGAGCCTTGGTGGAAGCACAGAGACTCCTTAGATGTAGTGGAAATGAAGATTCCTGGTTAGTAGGTCTGTGGAGGGCCTGTAAGGATGAGTTGCTTGCCAGGGTACTGTTGAAGCAAGCACATGAGCACCAGCACTAAGGGAGCACGATCTGGACGGGATCGCCCTGCTGCAGGGCTGGGCTACCTCATGCACCCACCTGGGGCTGGCAGAACTCTAGTCTGACAGCCCTTAGCTCCTGCGCACACACACCTCAGGCCAGAACCCTATCTGCCTCCCCTGCACTTGCCACATATTGTCTGGCTTCCTGCCTCTGTCCTGGCCCCACACATTTTGTCCCAGTCTTCTCCCCTCTTAGTGACAGGAGGATATTTCCTGGGTTCCCCCGGATATCAAAGTGCCTATTTGAGGATACTTTCTCCCAAGGCCTGAGCCCCAGCTCTCTTCTTCAGTAGCCTCTCAGGCAAGACAAGGGACCCTGTGGGTGTAGGTGTGAATCCCAGGACCTCGTTGCCCAAAAGAAAGACTACTGTGTTTCTGCATTCTATTGAGCAGGTAACCCCAATTCCAGAACATTCAAAATATCTCCAGGTGGAGTAATGAATCAGTCAGTCGTGATATCACCAAGACAGTGTTCTCTTTATTTTAAGTTTTCCAGGAAAGGGAGGAGCCCTCTCTGAGAAAGTTCTGGTCAGTTGGGAGAAGCCAGCAGAATGTCAACAGAACAGCCTTCCCAAGAGGCTAGGGGCAACAGGGTTCAAAGCCTAGGAGAGAGGCTAGGGTCTCAGGACTGGGTTGGGGGAGGCTGTGCAGGTCACATTGTCACTGAAGTGCACAACTGTGGCCTTCCCAAGAGGCGTTGCACAGAGGGTGGGAGGGCAATTGAGAGCTGCATGCAGCATGGGCCTTTGCTGGGGGCTCAGCAGGCTGGGACCCCACACTGCAGGAGGAGTAGGGCTGGGCTTTGCCTGCTATTACAGGGAGGGGCAGCCTAGCTCAGAGGTCAGGGTTCCAGAGACTGGTGCAGGGTGTGGTTGAGCAGCGAGAAGAGAGGCAGACGGCAGTGTACCAGCCAGGGAGGCCACCTAGACACTCACTGAACTAAACTCCAGATCACCATTCACCTCCAAGTGGACAATGGCCCACAGGTCCTTTAGGCGGTAGGCGAAATCCAGCAGGTGTTCGCCATCCACACTCACACTGTAGCACTCAGCTTGACAAGTGATTGCCACCTGGGCAAAGAGGCCTTGCACTTACACACCATGCAGGAAGTCCTCAGACTCCTGCAGGCTAGGAGTCCCTCCCCCTCTTTCCTCTCCCCCAAGCAGCCTCCTCCACCTCCCTAAATGAAGGACCTGCTCATCCCTCAAAAACCCATGCTCTCCTTCCTGGGCGCTCAGCCCCCGAGGTTCCCGGCCCTCAGGGCTGCTCCCAGCCGCCCCTTTTTCACTGCCAGGCACCTGAGAACCCAGCCCCTTCTGTTTAGCCTTCTCTGCCCTGACCCAACACCTCCCACAGAACCAAGGACCACCTCAGTCCTCCAGGGCAGCAGTGCTTCCTGGTGCCATCTGTGTCCCCCATGTCCCTGCCTTGCTCTGCAGTAGCAGGAGAAGCCCCCTGACTGGTCCCCTCCAGCCCAGGACCTTCTCCAGGAGGCAGTCAGGGTCCAAATGCGATGCTCACTCTTGCAGCACACTCGAGTGCAAGGCACTGTCCTAGTGTGGACAGAGACTACCTCGGCCCATCCTCACAACTCTCCGAGAGCCTAGATTTCTCAGAACCATTTGTAGATGAGGAAATGGAGCTTCAAAGACCCAGCAACTGTCCCTGACTGAAAGGCACTTCCCTGAGGTCAGCAGCTACCTATCAGTGAAAGTCAGTGTCCCTGCTGTTGGTCCCCCGAGGCTTCTCCCTGTAGTAAAATCCAAGGCCCCTTCCCAGCCCCAGAGCTCTCCACCAGGCATTTACTACCCAGAGTACAGAGTGCAGGCCTCCAGGACACAGCTTCTGCCTAAGCAGATCCCCAGGGGGACAGTCTCGATGGCTTGGGTGTGGGAGGAAAGGAGGACAGTCGTCATGGATCTGTTCTCCTTCCTTGTTTTCTTCTTTCCTTTCCTTTCCCTCACTTGTTTCTCTTCTTTCATTTTCTCTTTCCATCCTTCCTCTTTTCCTTCTCTGCACTACTAGGCAAAGATCCACTGCCTTCATATGATGCTGCCCATTTTTTATTTTTTATTTGGACACGGAGCCCATGTCACTAAACTGCCAGGTGGGGCTGAAATTGTTGGGACCCTCCTGAGCCATGTGCTGCTATTACAGGTGCACGCGCCCCTGCACCTGGCTTTACCCTTTGTAAGCTCTGCACGATCCCAGTGTATGGTTAGGGCGAAAAAGCCCTGCTCCTGGTGACCAGGCTGCAGCCACCGCCACAGCTCTCCCCACACTCTGCACCTGGCAGGGCAGCTCTGCACAGCGCCCTCCCTCCTCTGCACATTGGCCCTCAAGTGCGCATCCCGCAACAGGCCCTTTCCTTTCGCTGAGCAGGATCTTTATCAGTGCTGATGGGCTCCTGCCTCGGTCTCCTTGAGCCTCTGCACCTAGATACAGCCCCACAGTGTGGGCCCTGCTCTCTCTGCGTCTTGTGAGCCTTCCTGCACACCAGACATCTAGACCACGTAGACACAATCAAAGAGCAAATAAATGACTGCCAGGAAAACAAACAGATAAATGACTGGCACCTCATTCTTGGGTACGATTTGGCAGAAATGGGCTGTGTGATCCTGGCAAGTACATTATCTTGTGATTTGGTTTGTTCATCTATAAATACCAGATGCTAACCTGTGCCAACCTGGAGACAGCCATCGTAAAATAAGAAGAGCGTGTGGCACATCTTCTCTCCCCTGGGGCCCAGCCCTCCTATCACAGGCATCAGCCCACCCACTGAAGGAACTCCCAGGGAGTCTTAGCACTGCTGTCCTTGCACCCAGCCTGGTGCCCACGCTCAGGCTGCAGCGGCTCACCGTGAAGCTGTGTCCTTGTCTGAAGGGCATGTTGAAGGGCAGGCTTCGCTCCTCTGTCCCCCAGACACCCTGGATCTCAGTGTTCCGGACCACAGTGTTCTCATCAAATCGAGGGTTGAAGTGGAAGGCGATGTCAGTGTCCGTGCACAGGTTGATGTAGAATCTGGGGTGGCACATCACATGGACCTTCTCTGTCCCCTGAAGTCTGGTGATCCCCCTCCCACCCATTACCCACCTCCCTGGAATCAGGGCCTCACTCTCCTCCCTGAGACCCCTGGAGGCCCTGTCTTACCTCTTAGCTTTGTGTGGGACAATGCCAGACACAGTGATGACCCTAGATGGGTACAGCTCACCTGGGATGGAGACATGGTGAGGGAGCTGTTGGGAGAGGGAGACAGGTCAGCCAGTGACCACAGAGGGCCACCACTGCAGCAGGGAATTCTGTAGCAATATTCACCAGCTGGGACCATCAGCCAAGTCAGAAGCCTTGCCTAAGAGCAGGATGTCTTTCCTGTGAAGCTAGCACATCCTTACTTGCTTCATTGGTTCAAAAACTGAGGGAAAGCTTTGTGTTTCCAAAGCAGGCAGCTTTCACCGTCATGAAGAGAACTTTGTCTGGATGCTGATGCATTCTGGGGTGATAAGCGCAGGCCCTATAATTAGGTCATACTCAAGGGACCACTTGAATATTAAAAGTGCCAGTCCCAAAATTATTAATATACATCAATACTGTAAAATGTGTATCTGCTTGACAGTGGACTGCTTTTAATTCTGCAAGTCAGAGGGTTCCACTGAGCTGCCGCCACTGCTTGGCATAGGAGACAAACTCTCCAGCTTTGCTTCACTTTCTGTTTCCTAGGTTTTGAGTCCTGGTCTAGGATCTGTTGGAAAGGAGATTGGGAAATTCAGTGTGGGAGCGTCGTGGCCTCACACACAGTGGAGCATGGCTCCAAAGTGCCCAAAGCTCGGGGCATGTAAGTGCACTTCCAGACGTAGTGCAGGTGAACACACGTGCGTGGTTAGGACTCTCTGCAGGAAAGGAAGTGTGTGATGACAGGCTGTATGAGAGTTAACCAACAGAGATGCAAGAGGACCTGGCTCTGCTCAGCTGCCTGCTACTGCTGTGCTGCTGCTGCCCACCTGTGCGTACCTGCCCTGGGACCTCATGCAGGAATTTCATAGTTCAGCCTCTGGACCCTGACAGGCCGCTTACTTGGCAAAATAAACAGGGTCATCAGGAAAAAGTGAGTGTCCCTCCCACACCTGATGTTGAAGGAGAGCCCCAGAGATGAAGTGCCAACATGCCTCCCCCAGTCCTGACTTTGTTAACTGTTGTCACCTTTAGAGCAGCTTGGAAGGACAACCTTAATAAAGAGAGCTTGAGGCCCAAGACCAGGGAAAAATCCAGAAATGCCCAAGAAATAGATGGCTAAGAAAATTCCACAGGCATGATCCACTCCAGGCAGGGCCCTGCGCTCCTTGCTGTGCAGTGAGAACCCCTCCCAGCCTAGGTGATGACATAGAGAAGAGCCCCAAGGCAACCAGCAGGGGGCAGGCGTGGGTGCACAGACACACAGGCAGTGGGAGCTAGGTGGCCCTGGCACTGCTCCTCCTCAAGCCAGCACCAGATAAGGGCTCTAATATCTGACAGCCCATGCCACAGTTGGCCTAAATGCATGGAGGTGGATGGCAATGGTGTGAAGACATAGTGGCCATATTAGGACATGCTGGCTGTGCCACAAACCCCATCCCAGTGCACTGCACTGAGGAGAACCTAAAACAGCAGCTGGCTGCTATGAGATCCAGGTTGTGGATGCAGGAAACAGGGCCACCTTGCTAAGCTTAAATTACTGTTTCTGGGAGAGTCCCCTGTACTGCTGCATGCCTGCTATTCAGCAGAAGGTGGCATTAGGAGAAGAGCCCTAGTTGGGGTGGTGGGCCTGAAGGACTGCCCAGTTCTATCCATTCTTTGCAGCAAGTGATTGATAAGGACTGGGGAGATGAGCAAAACATAAGGTGAGTGGCACAAGGCCAAGCGGGAGTCAACATCCCAAGGACACGCTATGGGTCCACACAGGTCAGACGGCAGCACACATGGATATCCCTCTGGCTGGCTGCAGGCTTAGCTGCAGATAAGTTAAAGGGACAGTCCTGTTGGGGAAATGGGTGCTCACACTGTGGAGCAAGGGGGCAAAGGACTGGCAATGAGTGCGTTGAGCTTGTGGGAACCCAGTTCTCAGCCCAGAGGAAGCTGTAAGACATTTCACGCTCCAGGTGGACACCACCAGGCCCTGCAGGCCTGAGTGAGAGACTGATGCTTGTGCGGAGCTCCGCTGTGATAAAACAGCACACCACTGGTGGCACTGAACTGGTCACTGCATCCTCCAGTGACAGAAAAACTTCGAGGGTCCACTCTGCACTCAGTGTTGCCAGAGCTGGGCCAGTCCCCAGCACTTGGGCAGTGAGAACTCCAGGCTGTCCAAGGCTCTCTGCTCTTCTGATCTTTACATTTCCCCAGTGGCCAAGTGTACGCTGAGGGTGGAAAGACTGACTAGTGCCCAGCTCAATGTCTCACCCAGGAATTCCTCTTGCAAATTGTTGTGGTAAAAGCTGAAGTCTGAGGAGATCCATATCAGGCACCAGTACTGGTGGTCAAGAAGAAATGGAATGCACAGACTTGAAATTGGAAAAAGCAGGTGAAATATGCTCTGCACAAGCCCTTCACTATGACCTGTGCAGAAACTACACTGGTCCTAGTGAGTGAGTATAAAATCTGATGCTGGCATTCAGGACCAGTTTGCCTTCACCCAGGAGGGCAGGCAGTGGTTGCTCCAGATGTTGTCACAAGGCTATTTGATAGCCCCACTTCATGACCCATCCTGGTGCCCAGGACCTAGCTACTTGGACCAGACCAAATTCTCTGTCACTCTTTAAATGTTCCCTGATTTCCTTGCAGATTGCCTTCTGATTGCCTTGCAGATTTCAAAGCCGCTGTGCACAGCCTGAATTAAGCTCTGCTGGCCTAGGCGGGGCTGTGGATGAGGACAAGGCCTAGGGAACTGGCTTGTCTGTCAAATTCCTGGGTGTTTTTTGGTCTGGCAAGACTGCAATAATTTCCAGCACAATTAGAGGTGACCCAGAAAGGAATGATGGGGCTGACAGCACAAACTGCATTTCAGGACTCAAAGGGGGCAGCTGCATAGGTGTCAGCTCTAGCAGTCAGGGACCCCACCCTGCCAACTCTCCCAGCAGGCAATGTGAATGATGGAATATCTGCAGCCTACAATATTGACAGGGAAAGCAAAAGAACCCTGTTGGGCTTTGGCCATAGTTGTAAAAAGGGTGCCAGGAGTCATGTCGTAGCATTCCCTCTTTGAGAACCAGTTAACAGTGATAACCACTGCTCTACATGCCTATGAGGAATCACAGGACAACAGACAGTAGAAGGACAGACAAAACACCCAGCAGAGAGGGACATGGACAGCTGGGCCCAGGACTGGAGTGGAATAGACCCCAGTCCCACATGTTGAGGCTATTAAGACTCTCTGTTGCTGTTCCTACCTCATGGGTGGTGGGAACTGTTTTCCTCTGTGATGCTCCCCTGCCAGGCCACCCTGCTTTAGAGCCAGCCAGCCACCCTGCTTTAGAGGTTTTAGGGACTGAAACCTCTACAAGCTGTAAGCTAATAAACCTTCACATGTGTAGGTTATTCCAGGTCCAGGGCTGAGAGGCCATGGAGTAGGAGCAGTATCAAGTCAGCTCCTCTGGCATTTTCACCCTTCTGGAGTGCCTTGACCTCCTCTTCCTCCAGCCCCTCAACCCAGTCCTTCACTCTGAAACCCTCAGCAGTTTCCCTTGGCTGTGCAGCCAGCTCATGCCTGGCCAGGTCCACACTCACCTGGTGTGACATTTTGCAGCAATCCATCTCTAATCCACTGTGCGGCCTCCACTGCCTTTCACACCAGCACAGCTGTCTCTGCTCAGAGCTGGACTTCATAAGGAAATACATACCAACACATTTGGCAGTTCTACAAGGAAGGAAAGGCCTAAAGCAAACAGACTAGGTGTACAAAGATAACAGCTAGAGTGGTGGCAGGGTTGGGCTTCCAGGTAAGTCCACCTTGTCCCATTACACAAGTGGAAGACAGATTCTCAACATATTTGGGTTTTGAAACTTGTTGAACACAGTGCCCCTTTCCTGACAATGCCCCTTTTCTTTCCCTGTAATTGTGCTACAGGACCTGCTCCCCTATTGATCTTTATTAGATTTTGGTTTCACCTGCCATCTTATTGATGATTATAGGGTGACCCACGTTGTACTCACTTCACAACTAGGTACCCATCTGATGATTTTGCTCTATAAAATATTCTTAGAAAAGCGGCCTTGGAGGTACCGCACTCTCAGATCCCCTGCTACCTCTCAACACAGAGCTCTCAATAAAATTTCCCTACTCTTAATCTTTGTTCCATATAATTCATTCTTCAGTTTCATGGGAGTGAACTGGGTGTTTCTGACGGCTAGTAGGTTGGGAGTTAGATTTTCCCCTGTATCATTGGGAAGCCCCTGCAAGACAATTGGAAGGACGTAAGAGTTCCCTTTGTTTCATGAAACTCCAAAATATTCTGACTGGATTCTGGATTGTGATTCATTGAAGTAATCCCAATTGTCATCCATGGTTTATTGGATGCTGGTCACTATTGTTGGTTGCCTGAGTCATGTTAAAATTGAGATCAGAGAAGATTGTGATGTCTTCATATTTAGGTTTCTTTGATGGGGCACTTTATGTATGCAGGCAGGGCCTTATATTCCTGTTTTGCAAATGTGGCATTTAGACTTCCTTCTACACTGGTTGATGAATTGCCTTGCATTCCTTTTTTCACTCCTTTGACAGCTATCATAGTTATGAGCTGGCTTCTTGTCTTATTTCCGACACCTGTTTCCAACGGCATTTCACATTTCTAATTCCTTCCCAGCTTTACTCTTGTGTGTGTCCAAGGCCACCAGTCACCTTTGTTATGGATAGTCATTATCACTGTCAGTAAGTGGTAACATGCTTCTCTTTACAATCCCAAAAATCTATTTTCATTTTCAAGTGAAAGTCTCTCTCTCTCTCTCTCTCTCTCTCTCTCTCTCTCTCTCTCTCTCTCCTCTCTCTCTCTCTTCCCCCACCTCCCTGCCCTGTGAGAGAGGAGCATGGCCACACTCAGGACAGAGCATTCGCTGACAGCCAGAGAGCCTGTTCTCCAATCCACATTCCAGCCCACTCTGGTTTTCATTTTGGAACAGTGTCTTGCTAAGTTGCCAAGTGGCCTGGGCTGGACTTGCA